TTAAAAGACTGTGTGGGCCAGATGAAACGGGTGAATCTGACCTCTCATTAGCCTGTTTGCAACCCCAAGGGGATCTTGAACTGGGATTCAAAGACAACACCCTCCCCCAACTTGCACTTGGGTTTGGGGTGCCTCTGCCATTGGCTCCTGCCTGTGGAGATGGCCAAGGTATGCCGTGTCTCTGCTCCAGTTCCTGGTCCTAAGAACCCAAGAGACTGACTTACTGATTCTTGCAGTCGAACGGCTGAAAGAGCATAAACTTGAAGATAACTTCCTAGGTGCCCAGCACACGGCTAATGGAAGCTGGTGATACACTTGAGGAAATTATGCCGGGAGAAGGAAGTCTTTGCGAGTCCTCTTACTTGCTTTCCATGGCAAAGAATAATGCGCATTAGAATGTGAGACGTTTCGAAAATCATACCTCTTTTTAAGATCGTTATTGCATAGCAAAGTGAGGTTCAGCTGTTACTTCTTCCTCTATAACATGTTTTTCCTCTTCCCTAAGGATTGTTATTCCAGTGCAGGGGTTTCTGGTTGAAATGCCAGGCCTGTGGTTTTGGTCCTTGAGTTGAATTAGTTACAGATTGTGCAGGCTCCGGTAGGAGCTCAGGTCTCTGCTTAGCTTCCCCTGCCCTCGCCCTGAAGTCCAAAACCAGGGGCACCTGGCTGGCTCAGTAGGTGAAGCGTCCGACCTGGGCTCAGGTCATGATCTTGCAGTTCGTGGATTCGAGCCCCTTATCAGGCTCTGTGCTGACAGCTTGGAGCCTGCTTCAGATTCCTTGTCTCCCTGTCTCTCAGCCCCTCCCCTGCTGGTGCTCTGTCTCTCTCTCAAAAAGAAACAAAACATTAATTTTTTTTTAATAAAAAACAAAACCAGAGCTTTCCCATCAGCATGGTTGTAATTAGAGCCTCTCACAGTGGAAATACCTCTTAAAACATCTCAAAGTCCCTTCCTGAGGATTCAGTTTTAGTTCTCACCGGCTACAGTAAATGTTTTAGGAAGCTTTTTCTCCCTAAAACTCATCTGTCATAAGAGTTCAGGATGAAGGTTATTAAACTCCAGTATGAGATACTTGTCACGTAAACCCGGGAAGGGGGTAGTTTCCAACGTGGTATCTTCTCCCCCAGATCCTTCCCGCTAAAGAGATGCCACTCAGGTGCTGAGGGAGAGTGGAGCTTTCCCCATCCTAACGAGCATCTTAAGGATTTACAGATGTCAGCCATAAATTGGTCTTGAGAGCTTTCTGGCTTCCTGCCTTTCCTTCACCTGACATCCTCTTCCTGCTACTACCATTCCACAAGCATTTATTGAGTGCCTGTTACATGCCAGGCACTCTTCTAGGCATTGGGATAAAAAAGCAAGACAGGGAAGGCCCTTGTGCTCAACAACTGGTATTCCCGTGGGGGAAGATGAACAAAAAACTCAAAATGATGATAGAAAGCAGAGGTTAATATAAGAGAGAAGGGCTGGAGGGGGTATTAGGTGGGGCATCAAAATAAGGTCTCTTCGGGGAAGGCGGTTCAGCTGAGATCTGAATGATAACAGGGACACCTGGGCATAGATCTGAGGGAGAAGCATTCCAGGCAGAGAATAACAAGTGCAAAGGCCCTGAGGTGGGAGCAAGCGAGGTATGTTCAAGGAACAGAAAGAAGGCAACGTGGCTTGAACGTAAGCTAATGATTGGGGTCTGAGGTAGAGAACGTTTAGAGAAGTATGCACGAACTAATTACATTGAATATTGGACATGTTGTTTTTCCAAACAGCGGGAAAAGTCCGCCTACATCCATTGTTCCTTGTTCCTCACTTTCTTGCCCTACTATACAGACCCCCGTGCCACGCATTTGAGACTGTCCTCAGTAAGATGATCAGTGGCCACACGGTGCTCACTCGCGCGGGCTCTTGACATTGTCGGCACTGGTTTGTGCCTTGGTATTAGATGAGATCTGGGCTTATTAGAGCTTCGGGCTCCAGCAGGGAGTACCTACCAGACCTAAGTTTACCCTCACCCATTGCCACGTTAATTACTGTCATTTACACTCCAGCTGCTCTATTCCTTTTACTTCCAATGAACAAGATCGTTCACTACTTACCTTCATTAGGATTCTTGGGGCAGCAATCCAACCCTAAGTGGCACATTCAAGAAAGGGAGTTGGTCATCTGTCATAACCTTAAATCAGGTATGACTGGGTCCAGGTGTTCAAATGATGTCATCAGGACCCAGTGTCTCCACCTGTTGGCCTTGCTTTCCTCGGTTTTGGCTTCATTCTCTGGCCGACCCCTCCTTTGTGGTGGAGGAATGACCACGGACAACTCCAGGCTTACCTCCTACTGCCTTACCCTAGTGGAAAGAATGTCTGTCTTTGTTCCTCCCAGCTCTGTGGAGATATAATTGATGTATAACGTTGTGTAAGTTTAAGGTATATAGCATGATGATTTGGTTTTCTCTTTTTTTTTTTTTTAAATTTTTTTTTTTTTCAACATTTATTTATTTTTGGGACAGAGAGAGACAGAGCATGAACAGGGGAGGGGCAGAGAGAGAGGGAGACACAGAATCGGAAACAGGCTCCAGGCTCTGAGCCATCAGCCCAGAGCCTGACGCGGGGCTCGAACTCCCGGACCGCGAGATCGTGACCTGGCTGAAGTCGGACGCTTAACCGACTGCGCCACCCAGGCGCCCCTCTTTTTTTTAAAGTTTATTTATTTTGAGAGAGAATCCCAGGCAGGCTCTGTACTGTTAGCGTGAAGCTTGATACAAGGCTCAGAACCACCAACCATGAGCTCATGACCTGAGCCAAAACCAAGAGTTGGACGCTTAACCGACTGAGCCACCCAGGCGCCCCTGTTAGTGCAGCATGACGTGTGGATACATGCATATATTGGGAGCCGATTACCACAATAAGATTAGTTAACACGGAGAGTGTGTTTCTCGTTGGCTCTGCAAAAGCCCTATGCCTGGACACTGATTGGCCCTGCTTGGGTTAGGCCCACCCCTGTCTTTGGCTCAGTTGGGGTTGGGACCACCTGTGAACCAATCACTGACCTAGTTTGGGTTAGGCCCACCCCTATCATTGGCTCAGCAGAGATTAGGCTGATGATGGAGACATCCATTCCATCATGTGCCTCCTCCCAGATGCTGATACTGAGTCAATCTAGTACATCTGAATCACTCTGGAATGAGCATAGGGTTGGTTTCCCCAAGATAAGGGTGTTGTTACAGAAAGATGGAACAAAAAATGCTGGACTGGAAAAAAAAGACAACGACGAATGAACAGCATTCTGTTCTACCCAGCTTCTGTGCTTCCATCAAGCTTTCAGACAGACTCTGTTCCCCAAAAGGGCGTGGGAGTGGGGTGGGGAACAAGCATGTTGTCCCTGGAATAGGGAAGGGAGAGAAATTACGAAGAAGATGTGAATATTGGTACTAACAAATCTATTTATCAAGAAGTGCTGCACTCAAATAGAATTATGATTGTTTGACTTTTTTTTTTTTAACCAGGGATCCAGAAGTTGGTGATTTTGTCCATGCCAACACTAACTTATTTAGCTGAATGATTCATGTTTGTAGTCAAAAATACAGCTTGCTATGTCTTGCGGAGTGAGGGGTTGCATTCATTCTTTGGTCCTGAAGGACACACACCAGACCGAGAGCTCCCTGGAGGGAAGGAAGGGACCTTGGAGACCTCTCATTTGCATTTTTGACAAGTTCAGAGCCTTACATAAGTTCAGGGAATAAGCTTTTGCACGGAGAGGCTCTATCAGCAGGGAGTCTGTGACCTGACAGCTGTTGGGAAAGATCTGTGCTCTAGCCTCTCCTGCATTTCTCTGAGCCCTCAGAGCCAAGGCCCCGTTCCCACCCCCTACCCTCTAGCTCCCCTCCCATTTGTCTTCTCACACCCACTTCTCCAAAATTCCCTCTACTTCCTCTTCTTTGCCTCCCGGTAATTCCACCCCGTTTATTCCTCCTCCCTCCTCCTCTGTGTTGAAACTACTCTTGCCCACATCACCGGTGACCGACATTTCTTTCGCGAAGTCTCCTGGATATTTTCCAGCCCTTATCTTAGCTTCTCTGTTGCGTCGTGGATACTGGGGAACATTCCCTCCTTTCCCCTAGACGCCACGTCCTCCCAGGACAGCTCACCGTCTGGTTCTTGCCTCTGTTTCTCCGCTGTCTCCTTTGACTGCTGTTTCTTTCTTTGCCTACCAGGCAAACATTGGCATTCCTCAGAGTTCCATAAATAGTCCTCCCTAGATTGTCTGGCGGTTCCATCACAGGATAAAGGGAAGAAGCAGCTACAGGCTCAGGACTCTCAAATTTGTGTCAGCCCAGGGTTCGCCCCAGAGTCTCAGATCCACTGTTGTTTCTAGATGTGCCACAGGCTTCTCAAACCCGAAGTGTCCCAAACTGGGCTCCTTATCCTCCTCCTCAAAGACATTCCTTCTCTTAGGATTTGTCTCTGGTGATGAGGATGGTGGGGGCACCGGGTGTCTAAGCTGGAACCCTGGGAGATGTCCTCAGCTCCTTTTTTTTTTTTCCTTGCCCCTCCTCGAATGAAGTAAATAAAATCTTGGTAGTTTTGTTTATTTGTGGAATGTTTCCTATGGGTGGGCTGGATTTTGTCTGCCTTTGATGTCAAGTTTTGGCAATGTTTTATCATTTAACCCGACATAAAATTCAGGAATTTTTTTTTTCCTCCCTCTTAAAGATCCACTATTGGGTTAAGCGTCCGAGTTTGGCTTGGGTCATGATCTCGTGGCTGGGGAGTTCAAGCCCCATGTTGGCCTCTGTGCTGACAGCTCGGAGCCTGGAGCCTGCTTCGGATTCTGTGCCCCTTCCTCGGGCCCTCCTGTGTGCTCATTCTGTCTGTCTCTCTTAAAAATGAATAAGTATTAAAAAAATTTATAAACATCTGCTGTTGAACCAGATATGCAAATAATTTTAAAGCTTTTCTCTCCCAGACACCATGCTGCAAGAAGAGTGACCCCTTCCTCTGTTTCCACAATGGAGGACTCGGGAAAGACTTTCAGCTCTGAGGAGGAAGAAGCAAGCTACTGGAAAGATCTGGCCATGACCTACAAGCAGAGGTCAGTCTTCCTAAGTCCACCTTGCTTTTTCTCCCCATCACCGTGGCAGCAGCCATCGATTTTGTCGCTCTTAGGCCACAAGCACTACGAAGGACTTGACATACATTCTCTCCATTAAATCTCAAAACGGCCCTGTGAGGAAACAGTTGTCACCTCATTTTACAGATGAGGAAGCTGAGCCTCAGGGAAGGCAAGTAATGTGTCCACCAAGGTCACACGGCCAGTAAGGAGCAGGCCTAGGATGTGAGCACCAAAGCCTGTGGTCCCAAGCAAACCACCGTGTTCCTTCCCAGCAGATTTTAAATTTGAAAGAAGTGATTCTGCGTCCATATTTGGGAGGAGAGTGTGTGTTCAGCATTTCTTCTTTTTATTTCTTGTGGGCTCTTACACTCTTCGTAGGGAGGTCTTATTCCAGTCCCTCTAATTCCCTAATTTTATTTATTTATTTATTTATTTATTTATTTATTTTTAATTTTTTTTAACATTTGTTTATTTTTGAGATAGAGAGTATG